AAAATGGGAATTCACACAGTTACTTTTTGCTGATGATACTGTGCTTATGGGAGATTCTAAAGAAAAATTGCAAAGGTTAGTGGATGAGTTTGGGAATGTGTGTAAAGGTAGAAAGTTGAAAGTGAACATAGAAAAGAGTAAGGTGATGAGGGTGTCAAATGATTTAGATAAAGAAAAATTGAATATCAAATTGGGGAGGAGGAATATGGAAGAAGTGAATGTTTTCAGATACTTGGGAGTTGACGTGTCGGTGGATGGATTTATGAAGGATGAGGTTAATCATAGAATTGATGAGGGAAAAAAGGTGAGTGGTGCGTTTGAGGTATATGTGGAGTCAAAAAAAATGTTATCTATGGAGGCAAAGAAGGGAATGTATGAAAGTATAGTAGTACCAACACTCTTATATGGGTGTGAAGCTTGGGTGGTAAATGCAGCAGCGAGGAGACGGTTGGAGGCAGTGGAGATGTCCTGTTTAAGGGCAATGTGTGGTGTAAATATTATGCAGAAAATTCGGAGTGTGGAAATTAGGAAAAGGTGTGGAGTTAATAAAAGTATTAGTCAGAGGGCAGAAGAGGGGTTGTTGAGGTGGTTTGGTCATTTAGAGAGAATGGATCAAAGTAGAATGACATGGAAAGCATATAAATCTATAGGGGAAGGAAGGCGGGGTAGAGGTCATCCTCGAAAGGGTTGGAGAGAGGGGGTAAAGGAGGTTTTGTGGGCAAGGGGCTTGGACTTCCAGCAAGCGTGCGTGAGCGTGTTAGATAGGAGTGAATGGAGACGAATGGTACTTGGGACCTGACGATCTGTTGGAGTGTGAGCAGGGTAATATTTAGTGAAGGGATTCAGGGAAACCGGTTATTTTCATATAGTCGGACTTGAGTCCTGGAAATGGGAAGTACAATGCCTGCACTTTAAAGGAGGGGTTTGGGATATTGGCAGTTTGGAGGGATATGTTGTGTATCTTCATATGTGTATGCTTCTAAACTGTTATATTCTGAGCACCTCTGCAAAAACAGTGATAACGTGCGAGTGTGGTGAAAGTGTTGAATGATGATGAAATATTTTCATTTTGGGGATTTTCTTTCTTTTTTGGGTCACCCTGCCTCGGTGGGAGACGGCCGACTTGTTGAAAAAAAAAAAAAAAAAAATAAGGCCCCCAAAAATTTTCAGGTCAGCACTTACCAAGATGTAAGACCACAAAGTTGGCGCTGAATGCTCACCTGACGGCAACATGGAGTCCTGCCGCTTGCAGAAGTATTATCAATATACCTTTTTTCCTCTTTTTTTAATTTAAATAATTTTTATGTTCTGATAATTACAATTTGTAGTAGTTCTTGTGATTTGATAGCCAATGTTTGTTCTGACACTAATATTAGGTACTGAAATAGTACTCAAATAGTCACACACACTGGCAGATGAACATTTTCACCTGCATCTGTCACCTACTATTGTCTAGAAATAGTGGACCCTCGACTAACGATCAGCTCCCAACTCAACCCGTTATGTAAGTGCATTTTTGTAAGTGCTTTAGTACATGAATTTTTGGGAGTCTGAAACGGACTAATCTATTTCACAATATTCCTTATGGGAACAAATTCGGTCGGTAATGGCACCCAAACAGACATCTGAAATGAAATAATATCGTTAGTCGAGGGTCCACTGTATATACAAAGTATTTATAGGTCCCAGCAATGTTTTAGACATGCTGAAGTATATATGAAAGTCCCTGAAGCATGGTGTAAGATGAGTGTCACTCCACTGCTGACAGTGTAGCAGTGGCGTGACACCTGACGATCGTGCACTGCCTTGGTTTTGTTTGTTTTCACTGTTACATATAAACATGTCTATCTGTTTCTGTCTATCTGTATGTCTATTTGTCTATCTGTCTAGCTCTTATCTGTCTTTCTGTCTGCCTGTGTGTCTGTCTTCCTGTGTCTCTGTCTGCTTGTCTCTCTCTCTCTCTCTCAGAGAGCCGCTCATAAACTAACAGGTATTACACATGATGCAGAGTCATCACATCTGATTCCTGAACAAGTGAAAATGCATATTACTTGCCAGCCATGCTTATTATGCCTTACATCTACAAGCACAGTATAGCACTTTTCTGGAATAATAACTATTTAATAATAACTATTTATGTGTATCTGTGAAATAAAGAGAGAGACAGACAGAGATAGATAGATACAGACAGACAGACGGAGACAGAGACAACCAAAGTTAATCAGCCACCCACCCACCTGGCCGTCCAAACACGTATTACACATGTTCCAGAATTGCTTGTCTTTACTTAGGGCATAGGTTATAGGACACTCCAGCAAGATGACACTACCACTGGTATCAAAATTGAAAGGATGTTGCACAAATGCTGCACATGGGTTATTATCGAGGTTTTTTTTATATTTCCTCGACCATTTGTGCCCACATCCATCTCAAAGCCACTAAACTCTGGGTCAACATCACTTTCCTCTTAAAAGGGGAGCGTCAATACATCACATCATTGAATCCCTGGTGTTTGCCATGCTCTTTGGTCTAGCTGGCATTCAACTGAACCGGTGCTCCCACAAGGTACTAAGTAGTCCCAGATTTTTTTAATACTGTGCACACCGAGAGTTAAGACCCATTCTAAACTGACCAGGCATCTCAGGCCAATCGTCATAAATTTGGAGGCAGGAAAAATAAAACGTTGATTTACGTTTAGAGCGCAAGCGGTAAGAACGTAGATCTACGTTTGGACAGTTAAGGGGTTAATTAACACACCAGCAATTTACTATCAAAGTAGGGGGACCCAAAACAAAAGAAGCACTTCATCATCACTGATTCATTGTCTTGTCAGAAATGTGCTGCCATCACAGTTCAGCTGGGCCTCTGAATTGCAACATCTCCACCCTTCCTTCAGAGTGGGGATATTATGGAACATCATGGTTTGGAAACATCTCCAGTTATATCATAGGTGTCGGTAAGAAACAGATTCCCAATTTTGAATGTGAATTATAAAAAATTTTCAGTCACATGTCTTACTTGTTAGCTGATGAACCCCCGCACCAATCTTTAATTGACCAACACTCTTGACCAACACGCTTCAATATCCAGAACAGTGGTTTGAATTGAACAGTATTTCTTCCCACCATCTTGACACACACTTTGATTTCCAACTCGAAAACAAATTACATAAACGTTCAGAGTTTACATTTCGTATCTACTTCATGTACATGTAAATATTTTTGAGAGTACTGTTCACTAAACAAATGTTACTACACAAAATCCCATAACACTCAGTTTAGATAAATGATTCAGAGAACTGACAAGTTGATGAATTAAGACATATGTGCAACATTTGGGTATCTTTATTGAGGAAATATTTTGCCACACAGTGGCTTTATCAGTCATATACAAAGAAGAATGGAGAAGATCAGAAGGAGTTTGAGATAATCAGTCCCTCAGCCTGGAGTCTGATGAAGCCACTGCATGGTGAAATGTTTTCTCAATAAAGATACCCAAGAGTTGCACATGACTAATTTATGAACACTCAATTTGTATACATTGCAGCCACTCTCCATTTGCCTACATCTGCTTATATTTTAAATTAATGCTGTCTATTATTAAAACATTGTAAATATTAATTTTATGACTACTAATGAAAATCTATTATAGTAAATATCCAGAAAGAAATTAAAAATAAAACTTGCATGTTAACCCTTTGAGGGTCTGTGCCGTAGATCTACGGCTTTACGTTGAGGGTCTAAACCGTAGATCTACGCAATGAGCTCAGCTCACTCTGATAAGCTGTGAGCATTAAATTTTGGCCTAGATATGAGAGAATACATCTATGTGGTATGTGTGCACCACATAAAACAAATCCTGCAGCACACAGTGCATAACGAGAGAAAAAAAACGAGACCATAATTTTCGATTAAAACAGCGACTTTGCAGTGTTTTTTCGTATGTTTTTTATAGTTCTATTTGCAATTTCTTGGTCTCATTTGATAGAATGGAAAATATATTACAGAAATAGAGATGATTTTGATTGGTTTTAGTACTGGAAATGGCTTGAAACTGTGCTCAAATTAGCGGAAATGTTAAATTTCTGCCAATGTTCAAATGACCTCACACGTCTAATACACGCCTGCTGGTGGGTCTAATATACATTCACAAATGTGGTGATATTATTTATACAATTATTACAATATTGCATAACAGTAATTCTTCTATTTTTTGGTTTGAATAAAAATTCATTATGTGAATAAAAAATAAAAATGGAATTCATTTGTAAAGCCTCAAAACGTAACTAATGAACAGAGGAAATGTCAGTTTAGTGCCAGGAATGCCTGCATTGTTTATTCTGGACCCTATTTTGAAACTGGAGTATTTTGAAGTTTGCATTAAATTGGCCAAATTACCAATTTCCAATCACTTTATTTTGTAGTTGATATAGTTCACTTGGCGAATTCTTGTGCTCAATCGATAGAATAGAAGTAATACTAGTGAAATAGCTAAGAATTTGGTCGACTGGAATAATGTAACTGGCCTAAATGGGAGTCAAATTCGGCAAAATCGCCGATGCGTAAATATCAGACACATCAAAATTCGCGAGAGCATAATTTCGTCAATTTTCCATCAAATTTCATACTTTTTGTTTTATTACCTTCAGAAAAAGATTCTCTACCATTTCATAAGAAAAAATAACAAATTTATTTTTTGAAAATTCTTAGACCCTGGTGCACACTTCAAAATTTGGCCTCTGGACCCTGGAAACTTTCCATTTCAAATTACAATACAAAAAACATGGTAAATAGAGAAGTATAGTATTTTCTAAAAGAAGTCTGAGCATTTGTAAAGCTCTATGATGGTTAAAAAATAGCTATCACTATTTAAACAAGGAAAATGTTGTATAACTGACAATAATTTGCCTCATAAACACACATGTACTTAAATATCTAAAACCAAATTTTCACACTAGAATATATCTAAGCCTCAAAAAATCTTACTATTGGTATACATACCCATATCCTTTAGCCACTAAGGTATAATTTCCTGGCAGAAGCAATCTCCAATATTCTCCATGCTTGGAAGTTGTCACATTGTAGTTCAGTTCTTTTACACTCACAGATATTCCTTCTAATTCTTCTCCAGTGTCAGCATCCTTCACCACACCTTTAAACAGTGAATAAGAATTTACATGTTTAAACTTCTATAAATAATAAACTGTGCTAACAATAACGATCTAAATGCAAAAAGATAAATAATTATGATAAAATATAAATATATTTCATACTTTTTTTTTTTTAACAAGTCGGCCATCTCCCACTGAGGTAGGGTGACCCAAAAAAGAAAGAAAATCCCCAAAAAGAAAATACTTTCATCATCATTCAACACTTTCACCACACTCACACATAATCACTGTTTATGCAAAGGAGCTCAGAACACAACAGTTTAGAAGCATATATGTACATATAAAGATACACAACATATCCCTCCAAACTGCCAATATCCCGAACCCCTCCTTTAGACTGCAGGCATTGTACTTCACATTTCCAGGACTCAAGTCTGGCTATATAAAAATAACCGGTTTCCCTGAATCCCTTCACTAAATATTACCCTGTTCACACTCCAACAGATCATCAGGTCCCAAATACCATTCGTCTCCATTCACTCCTATCGAACACGCTCATTCATGCCTGCTGGAAGTCCAAGCCCCTCGCCCATAAAAACCTCCATTACCTCTTCCTTCCAACCTTTTTGAGGAAACCCCTACTCCACCTCCCTTCCCCTACAGATTTATATGCTCTCCATGTCATTCTACTTTGATCCATTCTCTCTAAATGACCAAACCACCTCAACAACCCCTCTTCAGCCCTCCGACTAATACTTTTAACTCCACACCTTCTCCTAATTTCCACACTCCGAATTTTCTGCATAATATTTACACCACACACTGCCCTTAGACAGGACATCTCTGCCTCCAACCGCGTCCTCGCTGCTGCATTCACAAACCAAGCTTCACACCCATATAAGAGTGTTGGTACTACTATACTTTCATACATTCCCTTCTTTGCCTCCATAGATAACGTTTTTTTGTCTCCACATATACCTCAACACACCACTCACCTTTATTCCCTCATCAATTCTATGATTAACCTCATCCTTCATAAATCCATCCGCCGACACGTCAACTCCCAAGTATCTGAAAACATTCACTTCTTCCATACTCCTCCTCCCCAATTTGATATCAAATTTTTCTTTATCTAAATCATTTGATGCCCTCATCACCTTACTCTTTTCTATGTTCACTTTCAACTTTCTACCTTTACACACACACCCAAACTCATCCACTAACATGTATTTCATGCATGTACTCACCAACTGGATTGGAATAGTTTTAAAAATGCAGTATTAGAATGTGGGGCAGAAGTTTGTGGTTATAGGAGGGTGGGGGCAGGAGGAAAGAGAAGTGATTGGTGGAATGATGAAGTAACAGGTGTGATAAAAGAGAAAAAGGTAGCTTATGAGAGGTTTTTACAAAACAGAAGTGTTATAAGAAGAGTAGAGTGTATGAAGAGTAAAAGAAAGGTGAAGAGAGTGGTGAGAGAGTGCAAAAGGAGAGCAGATGATAGAGTGGGAGAGGCACTGTCAAGAAATTTTAATGAAAATAAGAAAAAATTTTGGAGTGAGTTAAACAAGTTAAGAAAGCCTAGGGAAAGTATGGATTTGTCAGTTAAAACAGAGCAGGGGAGTTAGTAGATGGGGAGATGGAGGTATTAGGTACATGGCGAGAATATTTTGAGGAACTTTTAAATGTCGAGGAAGAAAGGGAGGCAGTAATTTCATGCACTGGCCAAGGAGGTATACCATCTTTTAGGAGTGAAGAAGAGCAGAATGTAAGTGTGGGGGAGGTACGTGAGGCATTACGTAGAATGAAAGGGGGTAAAGCAGCTGGAACTGATGGGATCATGACAGAAAATTGTTAAAAGCAGGGGGGGGATATAGTGTTGGAGTGGTTGGTACTTTTGTTTAATAAATGTATGAAAGAGGGGAAGGTACCTAGGGATTGGCAGAGAGCATGTATAGTCCCTTTATAAAAAGGGAAGGGGGACAAAAGAGATTGTAAAAATTATAGAGGAATAAGTTTACTGAGTATACCAGGAAAAGTGTACGGTAGGGTTATAATTGAAAGAATTAGAGGTAAGACAGAATGTAGGATTGCGGATGAGCAAGGAGGTTTCAGAGTGGGTAGGGGATGTGTAGATCAAGTGTTTACATTGAAGCATATATGTGAACAGTATTTAGATAAAGGTAGGGAAGTTTTTATTGCATTTGTGAATTTAGAAAAGGCATATGATAGAGCGGATACAGGAGCAATGTGGCAGATGTTGCAAGTACTATATATAATTGGTGGTAAGTTATTAAATGCTGTAAAGAGTTTTTATGAGGATAGTGAGGCTCAGGTTAGGGTGTGTAGAAGAGAGGGAGACTACTTCCCGGTAAAAACAGGTCTTAGACAGGGATGTGTAATGTCACCATGGTTGTTTAATATATTTATAGATGGGGTTGTAAAAGAAGTAAATGCTAGGGTGTTCGGGAGAGGGGTGGGATTAAATTTTGGGGAATCAAATTCAAAATGGGAATTGACACAGTTACTTTTTGCTGATGATACTGTGCTCATGGGAGATTCTAAAGAAAAATTGCAAAGGTTAGTGGATGAGTTTGGAAATGTGAGTAAAGGTAGAAAGTTGAAAGTGAACATAGAAAAGAATAAGGTGATGAGGGTATCAAATGATTTAGATAAAAAAAAATTGGATATCAAATTGGGGAGGAGGAGTATGGAAGAAGTGAATGTTTTCAGATACTTGGGAGCTGACGTGTCGGCGGATGGATTTATGAAGGGTGAGGTTAATCATAGAATTGATTAGGGAAAAAAGGTGAGCGGTGCGTTGAGGTATATGTGGAGTCAAAAAACGTTATCTATGGAGGCAAAGAAGGGAATGTATGAAAGTATTAGTACCAACACTCTTATATGGGTGTGAAGCTTGGGTGGTAAATGCAGCAGCGAGGAGATGGTTGGAGGCAGTGGAGATGTCCTGTTTAAGGGCAATGTGTGGTGTAAATATTATGCAGAAAATTCGGAGTGTGGAAATTAGGAAAAGGTGTGGAGTTAATAAAAGTATTAGTCAGAGGGCAGAAGAGGGGTTGTTGAGGTGGTTTGGTCATTTAGAGAAAATGGATCAAAGTAGAATGACATGGAAAGCATATAAATCTATAGGGGAAGGAAGGCGGGGTAGGGGTCGTCCTCGAAAGGGTTGGAGAGAGGGGGTAAAGGAGGTTTTGCGGGTGAGGGGCTTGGACTTCCAGCAAGCGTGCGTGAGCGTGTTAGATAGGAGTGAATGGAGACGAATGGTACCTGGGACCTGACGATCTGATGGAGTGTGAGCAGGGTATTATTTAGTGAAGGGATTCAGGAGAGCAGATGAAAGAGTGGGAGAGGCACTGTCAAGAAATTTTAATGAAAATAAGAAAAAATTTTGGAGTGAGTTAAACAAGTTAAGAAAGCCTAGGGAAAGTATGGATTTGTCAGTTAAAAACAGAGTAGGGGAGTTAGTAGATGGGGAGAGGGGAGGTATTAGGTAGATGGCGAGAATATTTTGAGGAACTTTTAAATGTTTAAGGAAGAAAGGGAGGCGGTAATTTCATGCACTGGCCAGGGAGGTATACCATCTTTTAGGAGTGAAGAAGAGCAGACTGTAAGTGTGGTGGAGGTACGTGAGGCATTACGTAGAATGAAAGGGGTAAAGCAGCTGGAACTGATGGGATCATGACAGAAATGTTAAAAGCAGGGGGATATAGTGTTGGAGTGGTTGGTACTTTTGTTTAATAAATGTATGAAAGAGGGGAAGGTACCTAGGGATTGGCGGAGAGCATGTATAGTCCCTTTATATAAAGGGAAAGGGACAAAAGAGATTGTAAAAATTATAGAGGAATAAGTTTACTGAGTTATACCAGGAAAAGTATACGTAGGGGTTATAATTGAAAGAATTAGAGGTAAGACAGAATGTAGAATTGCGGACGAACAAGGAGGTTTCAGAGTGGGTAGGGGATGTGTAGATCAAGTGTTTACATTGAAGCATATATGTGAACAGTATTTAGATAAAGGTAGGGAAGTTTTTATTGCATTTATGGATTTAGAAAAGGCATATGATAGAGTGGATAGAGGAGCAATGTGGCAGATGTTGCAAGTTTATGGAATAGGTGGTAAGTTACTAAATGCTGTAAAGAGCTTTTATGAGGATAGTGAGGCTCAGGTTAGGGTGTGTAGAAGAGAGGGAGAATACTTCCCGGTAAAAGTAGGTCTTAGACAGGGATGTGTAATGTCACCATGGTTGTTTAATATATTTATAGATGGGGTTGTAAAAGAAGTAAATGCTAGGGTGTTCGGGAGAGGGGTGGGATTAAATTATGGGGAATCAAATTCAAAATGGGAATTGACACAGTTACTTTTTGCTGATGATACTGTGCTTATGGGAGATTCTAAAGAAAAATTGCAAAGGTTAGTGGATGAGTTTTGAGAATGTGTGTAAAGGTAGAAAGTTGAAAGTGAACATAGAAAAGAGTAAGGTGATGAGGGTATCAAATGATTTAGATAAAGAAAAATTGGATATCAAATTGGGGAGGAGGAGTATGGAAGAAGTGATGTTTTCAGATACTTGGGAGTTGACGTGTCAGCGGATGGATTTATGAAGGATGAGGTGAATCATAGAATTGATGAGGGAAAAAAGGTGAGTGGTGCGTTGAGGTATATGTGGAGTCAAAAAACGTTATCTATGGAGGCAAAGAAGGGAATGTATGAAAGTATAGTAGTACCAACACTCTTATAATGGATGTGAAGCTTGGGTGGTAAATGCAGCAGCGAGGAGACGGTTGGAGGCAGTGGAGATGTCCTGTCTAAGGGCAATGTGTGGTGTAAATATTATGCAGAAAATTCGGAGTGTGGAAATTAGGAGAAGGTGTGGAGTTAATAAAAGCATTAGTCAGAGGGCAGAAGAGGGTTGTTGAGGTGGTTTGGTCATTTAGAGAGAATGGATCAAAGTAGAATGACATGGAAAGCATATAAATCTATAGGGGAAGGAAAGAGGGGTAGGGGTCGTCCTCGAAAGGGTTGGGAAAGAGGGGGGTAAAGGAGGTTTTGTGGGTGAGGGGCTTGGACTTCCAGCAAGCGTGCATGAGGGTTAGATAGGAAGTGAATGGAGACGAATGATACTTGGGACCTGACGATCTGTTGGAGTGTGAGCAGGGTAATATTTAGTGAAGGGATTCAGGGAAACGGTTATTTTCATATAGTCGGACTTGAGTCCTGGAAATGGGAAGTACAATGCCTGCACTTTAAAGGAGGGGTTTGGGATATTGGCAGTTTGGAGGGATATGTTGTGTATCTCTATACGTATATGCTTCTAAACTGTTATATTCTGAGCACCTCTGCAAAAGCAGTGATAATGTGTGAGTGTGGTGAAAGTGTTGAATGATGATGAAAGTATTTTCTTTTTGGGGATTTTCTTTCTTTTTTGTGGGTCACCCTGCCTCGGTGGGAGACGACCGACTTGTTGAAAAAAAAAAAAAAAAAAAAAAAAAATTCAGGGAAACCGGTTATTTTCATATAGTCGGACTTGAGTCCTGGAAATGGGAAGTACAATGCCTGCACTTTAAAGTAGGGGTTTGGGATATTGGCAGTTTGGAAGGATAAGTTGTGTATCTTTACATGTATATGCTTCTAAACTCTTGTATTCTGAGCACCTCTGCAAAAACAGTGATAATGTGTGAGTGTGGTGAAAGTGTTGATTGATGATGAAAGTATTTTCTTTTTGGGGATTTTCTTTCTTTTTTGTGTCACCCTGCCTCAGTGGGAGACAGCAGACTTGTTGAAAAAAAAAAAAAAAACTCACCAATTTGTGATTACATGGGTCGAGTCTCAAATCCTAGCCCTGTCTCTTACCTTGCCACTTGCCAGATTCAGCCCCTCCTAGCCTCATAGTCCCTATTGTACCCATTCTTAAAACTATGTATGGAACCTGCCTCCACCACATTGAGAACATTCCACTTCCCAATCCTTCTGAAACTGAAGAAATACTTCTTAACATCTCTGGCTCATCTGTGTCTTTAAC